TTGGCACGGACGCTTTTCCGGAAAAAGTGCTTTTCCGGAAAAGCATCCTGCCAATGTAGACGCGCTTTTCCCGGAAATGCTTATAATGGAAAACTGTTCCGTTTTAAGCATTTCCGGAAAAGGGTGCCAGTGTAGACATAGCTGTAGTGTAGACGTAGCCTACCTGGCTGCAGCTCTTTCTGAAAGTGAGGAAGAATGAACAGTGGTTAGGGCTTTCGAATGGCCCTTAAAAGACCTAGGTTCAATTCTCTACTCTGCAACCAGCTTCCTGCCAGGGTTTGCTTTGTGCCTCAGTTTCCCCACCAATAGAACAGGGATAATAGCACTTTCACGTCCCACAGAAGGGGTGTTGGGATAAATACATTAAAGACTGTGTGAGGCTCTCAGACACTGTGGTACCAGGAACCCTATGAGGATCTTACATAGACTGAATGTGTTTGCCAACCAAAAAACCCACACACGCAGGTGGAGCTAGAGAGGAAAACCCACAGATTGAGAACTGTTCATCTGCACTGGCTGGTGGATAATTACACATTAGAAATCCAGCTTGGCGCACACACAGCAGGGCAAACTGCCAAGGTGAGTTTCTTTGGAATCAATACTTTAATCAGGCTCCAGGAATTGCACCCTGATCACGAGGCAGCTACCGAACACAGAACAGAGACTCTGTGTCGGGGACAATTGCTTAACAGTTGGATTTTCCAGGATACTTAACTCTGGCTCCATGTAGGGGAGTAAATTAAAGCAGCTCTGAAGGACTTACCTGACCAGTGCATAGGCTAGGGCTCTTGGCACTCAGGGGACAGGCCTTCAATTCATGGCTGGACCTCAGACTTGCTGCATGACCTTGGGCAACTCTCTTGAGCTCTTGGGTTATGTCTACACTGGCTCGTTCTCATGCAAAAATGCTTCCAGAAGAGAGTGTCTACACTGGCATGTGCCTTTGCACAAGAGCATCCATGCCAGTGTAGACGATCTTTTGCACAAGAAAGCTCCGATGGCCATTTTAAGCACAGGGCTTTCTTGCCAAAGAAATTCATGTTGCCTGTCTACACTGAACAGAACAGTTGCACAAAAGGGCTTATTCCTGAGCGGGAGCATCATAGTTCTTGACCAAGAAGACCTGATTTCATACAGTAGAACGTCAGTTTACTTGCACAAGAACACACGGCCAGTGTAGACAGGCAGCAAGTTTTTGCACAAGAGCAGCCACTTTGGTGCAAGATCGCGCCAGTGTAGACACAGCCTTGGTGTCCCAGTTCCACACCTGTGACACGAGAACAACATTTTCCCTTTGCTCCATCTTGGACTGTCACGTCTGCTTTGTGTGTACGTTTTTTAGGGCAGGGACGGTCTCTTAGTGTGTGTGCGTGTGCGCGCAGCATCTAGCACAGGAGAACCAGATCTTGGTGGCGTTTGCTGGGACACAGGCAACTGCCTAGCCACTGACTATGCAGTCATGGGCACTGGGTGGCAATGCACAGGCTGCAGGACCTGTTTTCACTGATGTTCACCTGGGTTTTTCAGATGCCAATAAAAGCTGGAGTTCCAGGCAAGAGATCAAGTGAGTCCTTTGCTCGGAGCGGATTGCCCGGGGTCCCTGGGAAGCAGGCAACAATGACCTCCCCCTATGCACCATGGTTCCAGTACCATTAGCCAGTTTAAAGGGTTTGAGGTGCACCCGGGTCTGAGAAAGCACCCCTGGAGCGAGAGGGCTCTGCAAAGCCCCACACCAGGGAAAGGAGAGAAGGCAGCAGAAGGCCTGGCTCCTCGCGGGAATTGCTGGCAGCCAGGGCAGGCAGGATCAGATCTCTCACATTCCCGCTGATGGGCCGAGAACCAGCCCATCACCCAATGGCGCCCCAAGCAAGGAGCGTCTTCAGCACCCTCCCTTCTGTTTGTCGAGCTTTAGGGTACCTTACAGCCTCCCCGGGCCGGGCGCCCTAGGCAGTCAGCTGGTCGCCTGCCCCTAAATCCAGCCCTGGCTGTGTCTTTTGTTTCCCCAGGTTTTCCAGCGGCGAGAGGACGGCTCGGTGAATTTTTTCCGCGGCTGGGAAGCCTACCGGGATGGATTTGGGAAGCTGACGGGAGAGCACTGGCTAGGTATGCGGCTCCAACTCTCCCCATAGGGGCTAGCAAAGACAGCGGCCTAGTGCTCCTCCTTTTCAATTCTCCTTGGCATGGGGGGCGTTGCTTTTCTTGGGCCCAGTACTTAATCTGGGGAGAAGAACAGAAAAGTCCTTGGATGTATCACACCAGCTGCTGGGGAGCAGAATGGGGGTTGCACATGTAGGCTGGACCCACTGGGATGCACAGTGCCGTAGAGCAGTGGGGGAGGGAAAGGACAGCCGAGTCCTGGGCCCAATCCGGACGGAGGGGGTGTGTGCTATGGCTAATAGGAGCCCACTCCCCTTTCCGCAGCTAGGAAGGCCAGGGAGCAGAGGGAGCTGCAGACACGGGGACGCCGCATGAGGTGCTGCTAGATACTGTGGGGCTGTCACAAGCTGCTCAAGGAGGCATGGAGTCTGGACACAGCCAAGCTGCTCAGCAGACAAAACCCAGAGCTTCCTACTCAGAAGCACAGGCCCCCGGCCTCTTGAGCTACAGGGTCCCTGTTGGCAGGACCGGGTCTGGGACACAGTCCAGGCTCCAACACAGAAATCCGGCCGGAAAACCGTCAGGGCCAAATCCATCCCTGGGGTAACTCCCAAAGTCCCCGCATTACCTCAGGGAGGGGCAGAGGTTGTGGCCCAGCAGAGACGAGAAGAGCCACCCCTGCCTGCAGCACCTCCCGCCATGCCCTACGAGAGCCCCATCCAATGGACTGACCCCCAGGAGCTCACCACCTGCGGGCAGGGGCCTGGAGGGATGGGAAACCGGGGCCCCACTCCCTGGGCCGCAGGAGGAAGACAGCCCAGCTGAGGTCTCTGGGGACCCTTGGCTCTCCGTTTGGGGGGCTGGATGCCGAAACCCACACTAAGGTGAGGAGAGCGGCTCAGCAACCCGCCCATCAGCCCAGCCCCTTCCTGGCCGGCCCTGCCTCACGGGCACCGCAGGGGCCTGGAGGGATGGGAAACCGGGGCCCCACTCCCTGGGCCGCAGGAGGAAGACAGCCCAGCTGAGGTCTCTGGGGACCCTTGGCTCTCCGTTTGGGGGGCTGGATGCCGAAACCCACACTAAGGTGAGGAGAGCGGCTCAGCAACCCGCCCATCAGCCCAGCCCCTTCCTGGCCGGCCCTGCCTCACGGGCACCCAGACGTGGCTGGCGGGGCCTTTACGGGGCCTTTCTGCGGGC